AGGCTCTGAAGAAGGCGATTCCGCCGAAACGTCAGCCGAATAAAGCATACTTAAAAACCTCGTGAAGAGTTCAAGAAAGCAGTAAACTCAATGATACAATTATGCCGAGGTTTATAGAAAGCCGTACATGGAACTTAATTTGCCTTCTACTGTGTTTTTTGTTTCAAAGAAGTTATGTGTTTGCATTAGGTCTTCATTACCATAGCTATTTGTTACCAAATTTGTTCAAAGACCATACATAGGTCCTGATACTAGTAGTGAGAGAGAAAAGAGACCTAATCACTCGGTTCAAAATGTTCAAATTGAATATCTTTATACACAGTGAAATTAATCAAGGAAAAGTTTAATTTTTTTTTTAGAAATGTAGCCGAGCGTCTCAATCAAGAACTAGTCGATCTTCGCAAACTATTGAAGTAATCTTTCTCTATACGTGAAAGAACTGTGACTGACTGCATACAGTGTCCTATAGGGTTACTGTTAACTTTTTCATTATAAAGGTACCGTTCCTCAGTTGGATATATCAGAATAACATCGCCCACGCTTCTGTTGTTGCGTGTTCTGAGCACTACTCCTTCAACAATCAAAAGAACAACGTGCAGCGAGGATGTCTCCTTGTCTAGCTCAGTCCGTTGAAGCCGGACTAATCATCAAAACTTCTATACACGCTTCCGATGCAAGCGTTCGGGCCCCGAAAGTACAGATCGTCACCTTAGCCATTCTCCTCCCTTATAGTAGCAGCATATCTCGAGTGGTCCTATCCAGCGCTCACTTCAAGCTTTTGGACGCTGACGTGCAGGATACCACCCTCACCAGCAGATCTCCACACAGGTATTCATGGATACAACTGGGTAGAGAAGGTACATCGACATAGCGCACCAGAAGCAGGGAGTACATCACCTGAACCTACCTGCGTCTCTGGGCAAGGACCGGTAACTTTCGGTCTTTTGGCCCGCAAACTGATCTCATACCCTCCAATTGGAGTCGCTCCCAACCAACCACCTGTAGATGCTTTAGTGAAAAAGAACCTCCAGCGAAGGAGATCCATGGTCTGGCTCCTTCAAATACTGACTAGAACTTTTTTATTTTTTTGACACGAATAATCATTGTTTCCGAACTCTATGATTCCCACTTTCGCGATTCCCACGATTCGTGAGATACTATCAGAAGAAGAAAACCGGTAAACTGGACTTTGTTGACGAGTAGTATGATGGAATTAAAATGTTATTCTGAATTTTACGAATATTTATAGCTGATATGATTTGTGTTCAAGGGATTGATCATATTCGAATAGGAAGGATCCTATGGAGTGGGTGAAGAATTGTCAAAGTCTAATAAGTTATAAGATACTTTAGACAATTCACAGTTTCTTCAGTTTCTACTTGGTTAATGGGGTCTATTGCAAATTTAATTGCCCTTGAGTTCAAACTCTTAATGGCTTCGCACCTGGGCAAGAAGAGATTCTAAAGCCTAGCATCGAAGGGTTTGATCGAGTTTCCCAGAGACACGTCGTATGGGCGCCGGCTAGGTATTGAGTTTATACGCTAAAACGCAACGTTGCTGCGGAGGACGTCGGCATTGCCTGCGCCAGTAAGAAACTGTACATGTACGGCTAAGTGTCTTAAAACTAAAGAAACTCTTGCTGTTCTCATAGCAACAGTTTGCCTCCTTGCATCGCAAGCCAACTGAGAACCCAAAAAAGCGCATAAGTGTTGGCATCCATAATTGTCCAATTGGAGAATGTGCTGTGATCGCCAAGTGCTAAAATAGTTCCCTACGCTGCTCTATTATACCTGTTTACAAATGAAAACTCGATTATTAACTCTTACTCAAGAAATTTCATCGGTCACATACCACAACAAATCGCAAACGTGCTGCTTTACTTGAGTCACAAAAAGAACGTCAGACCTGTCTCGAAATCCCGATATGCGAAGCTATACGGCTACCTCCCGAGTCAGACCCCCCTGACTAAGCCAGCTTCGTTTGGAGCCGATTACTGGTGATCCCGCACTCATGCACATCTTCCTCTATTTAATGGTGAAGCATGCACGGTAAACCACAATGTCTCAGAAATTTACCAGCCATTCGTGACATCTAACAATAATAACATTTATGATAGAAACAAACGGGGTTCATAACAAGAAACAATCCCATTTATTTCTTGGCAGCTTTCTTCGCATCACCTTCCGACGACCTCGAAGCGGATGATCTTCTGCGAGCAACCTTTTGGTCTTTCACTTCCTGAAACCGATTTCAATGTGGAAAATGCTCAGCAGCGAAGAGTCACAAATCATCTCACCTTTGCGTATTTGGTCATGAGTTTGTGATATGCAGCAGCTTCCTCACGAGATTTGTTACGTTGTTGAATCTTCTTCCTAAGGAGGGCTTTACGTCTTCCAATAACAGTCGGAGTAATGAGTCTCTGGATCTTGGGTGCGATTATGCGGGTTGGCTTTCCTGAAACCAAGCAGTGCAGTTTTCTTGTACTCCGGTAATATGTACGGTAAATACGGTACGGTAAATAAAAAAGAAAATCAAAAATAAAAAACTGCAGTACATTAAAACTTTTGTCATCTAGCTACGAACCTAAAACCATATGATACGGAAGCATCACACTTAGGTCAGAGGTTAAAGGCAGATACTGTAGATAGTTGCTCTAGCTCCTCGTCTGCTCAATCGCCACATATAATAGCAATCGTGCAATGAAGAGCAGAAACAAAGCAAACTGGGAGAATCTCACCTTCACCGCGAGTCTTCTCATGGGTGATGACATACTTTGTTACGTCGTCCTCCTTAGAAAGATTGAACAGCTTGCGAATTTTCGTTGCTCTCTTGGGGCCGAGACGACGTGGCAAAACTTTGTCGGTCAGGCCTTCGATGTCCTGGTCACCTAAATACAACAGGAGAATAGCAGCTCATTTGCGTTCAGAATTTTATAAGCGTTAAGAGTTCTCAGAAACTTTACGAGTCACCGAATTAAAATATAATTCCATTTGTGAAAAGTACACTGCAACTTTGCAGCTACGAAACATAGAAATCATCAAATGAAAAATGAAGGGCATCAAGTAGCGAATGATCCGAGGAGAAAATGCTTGTAATCTTCTCTAATCAAATTCTCTAATCAATTTTTAAATTATTATTTTTCCACCTAGTCTTATACATGCCGTTTAATTTTTCAAGCCGGATAAAAGAACTGCAGCCTCAGCACGTTATTCTTCCTAGACCTCTGCTACGTGTAGTCCGTATCAAACCCTATTTTCCCAGAAAAACCAAAATATTAAAATCGAAATTCAAAGATGCAGCTCAAATAATTTTTGGTGAAAATGTAGTTGGGGGGTGCCAGCGCCCTTTTGTGCTCTGTGTCTCTTCATTTCTTATCCCATCTAATCATCTCACCCATCCCGGAGCTCCTCCCCTTCTAAAAGCTAGGGAAGGAGCTCCGGGGTGGGTGAACCAATTGGATGCTCAATTTTTATCCCATCCCAGCTTTCTGCACGAGATAGTCATCTCTCCCACCCCGGAGCTCCTTCTCTAACCTTTAGAAGTGGAGGAATCCACCTCTGCGATCTGTATGTAGTCTGCCGCCAGTGTCAGGGACGTAGAGCACAAAAGGCGCTGGCAACCCCCAACTACATTTTCCCCTAATTCTTCATACTACGTCTCAGCTGTCTTCATTTATGAAGCTGCGTAAACATCAGTAATGCGCTTTAGCGCTGGCGATGTCTTAAACCGCGATTTATAATGAAACACACTCAGCCAAATTGAAATCCCATCAGAACTCGATGACTTTCACATATTTTTACTCATTGTTAATTTCGTTGCTTCATTGCTTCACTGATTCGGATTACAGCCAGTATTTCTCAGATACCCGACCAAGAATACCGTAAACTAGCCATGCACACGAACTCTCGCTTAATCAGAATACGTATTGCGCTTCACATCTGATTAACCGCTGTCAACATTTCCAAAGAACCCGATTGCAAAGCCTTAAGCGTTCAAGCTTTCTTTGCTGTTAAAGTGTCCACATCATTCTCCCTTATGAGCGTATCTGTTGAAGTAGCCTTGACCAACATACTCTTACCGAAGGAAGCAGCAAAGAGTCTGAAGTCATTAAAGCACTAGTAGAGCACAACTTAAGGGATGAGAACTGAGCCGTGGCATAGAACTTTTGACTCAAAATGAGCAGTAAGAAAAGAGCCTGCCCTAAATTTAGTGAAACGAGTTTTTGAAAATATATAGAGAGATAGGAACAAATTAGTAAGGAACAATAAAACAAACAAACGTGACTGAAAAAGAAAATCATATGAAATTATGCTTACCTTTCTTCACCACAACGAGGGACAGAACGGAAAGATTAGCGTCAACAATGCAACCACGCACAGACTTCCTCTTTCTCTCTCCAGCTTTTCTTGGTCGGTAACAAGAGTCACCCTTAGCGAGGAGTAGGCGGACTCGACCATTGCTCAGCACTCCTTGCTTCATCGGAAACCCTTGTTTGTCATTTCCTCCGGTTATGCGGACAATGTATCCCTGAAATGATTGGCAAATAACAACCATATCAGCGGTGATATTTTCCAAAGACAAATGTATATTAGAATTATACAATTTTTCGAGAATTAAAATTAAATAAATCGGTTGGGCATTTTTCTGGAACGGGAGATGATAGGTTCTATTCGACCCTCCTACGAGCCAGTATAATCTAAAGCTGTCTTTGCTTGTTTAGGAAACAGAAAGCAATACTAGATTACGTTGTTTGGCACTGCGAAGTTTATAAAAGATCCCCTTTAAAGCACTATAACCTTGACCTGTTGTAATCGAGAAGCGAATTGAGTCCCACAAAGTTTAAAAATTCCTGGTAAACAATAGAAAAAGGGCAGTCTGCATTACTCACCCACTACAAAGGCTGATTTAGTGGGATTGAATAAACAGTAATCGAAAGGCCTGCTGTGTTGCTTCTGCAGAATTCGAATTTAAAATAATCAGAGTCCAAAAAGATTCAGGTGATAAAAGCTGCTTCTTTATGTGTTTTAACAAAAAAGTAAGAACTGAAGAAATACTGAAAAAGGATCGAGTTTGCATGCACCCCGTCTACGGCGAAAACGGAACCCTTAAATCTCGTCTCCTACATCTCCCATCCCAAACAAAAATCGCTCATGAAAACAACAAAGGTTCCTTCCCCCACCGCCTTGCAAAACGTTCATAAATGAAAGGCAAAACCTTTCATTGAACGGTAACAAATCAAAAAAGGCATACAAGAAATCGGTAGTCGAAGCTATTAAGGATTTTTTTGTGGATGAAAACTCCAAAAAGACGTTTGCCTAAAAATCAACATGAACATAACTCAACAAACCTTCCATTCCTCTCCCAAAGCATCAATTTCGACTTCCTGTGCCATACGCTTATCATAAAACAAACGTAACTTCTTCTCATCATCAATTTCAAACAATTTTTGTTGACCTGTCGCCGGATTGGCGAAGTTAAGTTTCATCTTTACAGATGGTACTTGTTACCTGAAATAAACATTGACCAAAAACCTTTCCTGCTGTAGAACAAAATGAAAATTCGATCAAAAAGGCATTCTACGAAGCGTTTCTAACCAGCAAATAACAAGCCCAAACAGAGCCCTACGCACGAAAAAAATCAAGCACAAAAAGAGTAACCTGGACCTCCAACGAAAATAATATCCCTCAGAGAAAACTTCAACTTTAGGCCTTTGAAAATTAATACAAAGAAATTTTAAAGGTCGCATGTGAAGCCGTGAAAGAGAATCGCTTGAGGACCACCGCCAATGCTACCGTAACTGGGCATGCAGCCAGCCTCAGGATCATTCGATAAAATAATTGCCAGGGTGAACTCAAGGATTTTATACATTTCCTTGTGGTTTAAGACGGTATTTGTCCTTCGGGAGAGTAGAGGGTGCTTCGATAATATCGGGGGTGGTATTTGTTCATTCATCACGGTTAGTGGTTGTTTGTTCCATGTCATTTTATCCGGCTCTTTTTTGTTCCGTGCTCTTCTCAATTTTTGCTTTTCTCTGTGCTCAATCGTGTATTTTACCTTCACCGTAATGTTGCCAAAAGAATTTAGTTTCAGGATCAATGGTGGATTGTCCACATATCTCAGGCTCAGTTTGTATCGCAGCTCTAAATCTCTCGCAATTGCAACTTCTGCGGGAATTCAACGATTTCGACTATGGAGGACGATCTGCGATCCGGACGCAACGGAAACTGAGCCGTGATGCTTCGTAAGTGCTTTCCCATAACACTTTAACTTTTTCAGCATCTGGCCCACGTATGCGACAAATTAGAGCCCATCTCAGTGCAATCCATGTTGGCAACGTTGCTTTCCAGGAGGAGGCACAAGTGCTAAATTTTCTTCCATTTAACGCGCTGCCGTGTCTGCTCTGTTAGTCCATGTTCATAGCTATAGAGTTGAAGATCTGCCGGTTTCGCAGGAGTTCTGGTTAACTGTCGACTGAAAGAAGGAGTCTGAATCGCTCTTGCGCTTGTATCCCGGATAATTGGCGCAGATTATGGTCCTGCTTGTGCCATCGTTCAATTGCGGAATGCAGATAGCTCTGCCGTTGTTACATCGTTGTTGTGACGATGTAGAACTGCCTTTATAGTCAGCGATGTGCAAGTTTCCATACCTGCCACGTCAGCGAGTTCTTATTGGTGCTGTTTTCCGACGTGACCCGCCCGTCGTGAGGCTTAGGAGACGAATACTAATAGAAAAAGAAGACTCGAAATTATTAAAATTTCTTTAGAGGGCAGGAAAACGAGTGACAAGCCGAGAAAGGATGTCGTTGAACGATGCACTTAAAGTGCAGTGCACTCACCGGGCGCATTCATGGTACATGCGTCCTAATGCAGACGTTGCGTTAGGACGCTGACGTAGTGTGATGACGTAGATGTAAGCGCTAGCGTACGTGGGCGCTTTCAGGGTCCAACGACGTGCGTTTTTTCTATCGACCACGCTTTGACAGCGCTGGACACCGATCGATACCGCTCAAGCGGCTCTGGACGCAATGTCCTGCGTTGTCATCGCGTTGCCAGCACCGCCGTCAGTCGATCGGTCGTCGGTTTCAACAACGCACCTCGTTGAATTTTTGAAGCACTCAGTCATGGTATAAGATGCGGGATTATGCCAATTATTATGGTGTAAAAGGAAAAAGATTCAGGTGCGAAAGTTCTGGGTCGTCATTGCGGGAAGGCGATCTTTTTTTTCTGATGAAGTACCTTAGCACAAAAAAGAAACCGATTCCTTGAAAAAGCAAAACAAAGCGTATGATAACTAGTTCCGTATAAATGGGTCGCGAATGTAATTGCCCGATGTCTGTCTCATTTCTTGCATGAACGTACGTTCCCTTATTGTCGAAATGGATGGAGCCGACGCAGAACTATGCGCCAGAACGCTGATTTCGACGTTGGCGTCGCACTATGAATGCCTCCACGGTTATGTGGAGCGCTCCTCGAAGATCAATATGCGGTAGAACGAGGCAGTATAATAGCGATATACAGCCTGTAAACGAAGGGGCGAATTCTGGTCAGACGAAGGTCTGAAGTATTCAGTATGCTATGCTCTGGTACAACACACCTTTACAGTATTGAGCATAGATGCGTTGCTCATGCTCCGCAGCAGGGCGAATGTCGCCTATGGCTGCTTTCGGATTTCAACGACCGACCGATCGACGGCAACTCTGACTCGCCATGTGCTACAACGATGGGCAGATTGCGCTCAGAGCCGCGTGAGCGGCTGTTCGTCCGATCGTGCGTCTGACCCACGGCGGCGCTAGCCACTTGTTGACAACACTGGCGCCTGACCCATCGTGAAAGCTGAAGGCAGCCACTCGTGAGGGCGCGTGATCCATTTTGTGTTGTCAACACGTGGTGAGCGCCGCCCCTCAGTCGGTCGGTCGTCGGTTGCGTCGTTGAAGTCTGAAAGCAGTCTATCGCCAATCGTTATTGTGAATCACGTATGTAGGTGAGCCTATGGGCGGGACTTTGACTTTCATTTGAGCTCAATTGTTAAGAAGCTTTTAGAAACTCTCTAGAAGCAGCAACTGCAGTCCGCTCATCGCAACTTTGAAGGCTGCTTAACCGAGTCACCGAACAACACCACTGCTTCGCATGCACAATGATCCATACTGCTTTCTCACTCGCCAACGTTCAATTTGTAGCTGTTGGAAGAGCTTTAGCATGTCTGCTCCACTTGCTTTTCTGTTCTCCGACTCTGAGCCTGTCACCTTGATGCGAATGGACTTTTGAAATCGCAACTAAACGAAATGGTGCTTTCTCGGAACTGGACTCAACAACGCTGATTCTTCGTTTTTGTCCAAGTCTATCCTCTATTTTCGCAGTTCGAAGCCGCAAGCATTAGCATTTAACTTACGTTTAATTGACATCCAACGGCAGCACAAACGGCATCGATCGTGGCTGGGCACCTTATCCATAGGATCGTGCAGTTTTTCAGTATCTCTCTTTACTTATCCAGGAAAGGGGACCGCACCGCTTTGACTCTCATAGAAGGGTACAGATACAGATGTCTGCTCGTTGGATATGGTTGAACACTTCAATTTGGAGTGACCTACTTGGCCTCCTTTCCAGTGTTTAATTGCGGAAATTCGCTTTTTCAATGTTTGTCAAAGTCGGTACTTCTGACAAACCTGTTTTCGGGCAGAATGCTGATCAATCATTCTCATTTAGTGGTACCTAGTTCCGTATGGATTTCCGGCGGCCGTGTTCTCCTTGTGCCAATCACGTTTTTTTTTTTCACAACATTGTTATATAGATGTGCTCATTCATCTGTAAAAAGAATGCGTGGGTGACCTCACGTTGTAAAGGATAGCATTCATCAAAATGTGTTCGCTGTTGTCTACACTTAAAGAATACCCTGCCTTGTATGTTGAGAGGTCCGTGGGTCGAAGCTGGGAACAAACAAACACCCAACATCTACACAGAAAAGAAAACTGACCATTTCTTACTGGCAGTGGGGTTTTTACTCGAATGAGTAACGGTGGCGCGACGCCCCTCGGTTGAGTTGTCTAATGGTTTTGGTCCTTCCTCGATGTATTCAAACAGGGGACGGAGTATTGGTGATCCAGGAGACTCCACAGCAAAGTGCGTGGCGAAAAAATACATGACTTCCTTTTATCGATCAAATCGACTGCTTGCTTACGAGCAGCTTCAGCTCTGGGCCTCGTCGAACTTTTATGTGCATGTTTTGAGCCTTGGTGTTAAACGCCAGGGTCGTCCAGATCACCACGATTTTCGCCGCGCAGTTCCTCGCGCACGTTTCCAACGCATCAAAGAACCCATACCTGTAATGCTATTGAATGAAATACGTTCTTTCTAAATCTTTGAATCCGTAGCATTTTATCACTGTGAGTTCACTGTAGGAACCGGGTTTCCGTACTGAGTTTCCGCTCTTGTTAGGTCCTGTAGACGACCAATAATTAATCGCAGGNNNTTGTCTAACCGATAGCAGAGTGAGCGAAGGCGAACAGATGATGCTCTAGGTGCGCCCAATGAGTGCTTTCAGAGTTCCAGGCAACGTCACCGACGACCGACCGTCCATTGCCGGCACTGGCAACGTGCTGACAACGCTGGACAGATTGCGTGCATAGTCGCGCCAGTGGCTGCTCTCGGACTTCAGCGACCGACTGATCGGCGGTGTTGCTGGCTATGTCTTGAGGTTGCTGGACGCCGATAGATCACGTGCCAGTGTTGTCAACAAGTGGCTGCTCGGACGCACGCACGGAAGGACGGCCGTCGGTTGCGTCGTTGAAGTCTGTAAGCAGCTAGTCGCGAGGCTTGTGATCCATCGGTGTCCAGTGTTGATCATCACGTGGCCAGCACCGTAGGTCAGTCGGTAGGATGTTGGACCCTGAAAGCACCCTATCCCGACGCCACAGGCGATTACCATGACGATGGTGATGACGCGGCAATGTCAGCGCAGCGAAGGGTCGCAGGTCGTCCATCGCAGTCGACATATCCCAAACTATTATATGAGCGGACCTTTCGGAGCTCCCAGAACCCGATGCCGCAACCCGTAACAATGGCCTGAATCTTCATGCGGTAGTGCTGCCCATGCACCTTATATAAACTGCAAATTTATGGTCAGACCGTTACAAATTTGAATCCTAAAAACCAAATATTATAGGGAGAAGGTTCTGTGGAACTGTGTTAGATGCGATTCGTCCGAAAGTCCATGGCTGTGCTTAGCGTGCGGTCTCATTTTTTGCGGTCGATACGTGAATGCCCATGGATTGAAACACCATAATGAAATGAAGCATCCACGTCATTGTGTGCTGATGCATTGCCAAACCTATGAGGTGTTCTGGTGAGTTGTTACCCGTTCAATTTTTACTGTTTTAACAACTAACAATTAGGGATGCATCCTGCAATTTCAATTTTGTTGAATTCGGCTGACATAACATTCATTCTGGTACGGACATAGTTATAAAAAATTCAAACATTAATTAAACTAATCCTTATTTATGTTGTACAAAGGGAGTCTCGAAATTACTTTCACCAAAGTACACAAATTTACTTTACCAAATTGCAGTGATCAATATTGTTCTACTTCATATACTTCGATAAGTGTGTCTGTTGGTTTTTAGGTTTGTCTGTCAGTGAGTGGTGTGTGTCGGTGCGTGTTTGTAGGTGTGTGGTGTGTCAGTGTGTGTGTCAGTTCGACTGCATAATCCTCTCTCCCTGGACTTGGGCCGTTCAAATTTGGAAGGGATGCAGGCGGCAGTATGGTAACGCTGATGATAGGTTACAGAAGTGATATAAGAAGTTATAAGGTCAATAAGCGGTCATAGAAGGCACGTTTCATTGTGTCTATAAAGCCCTCTGTGGTAACAGTGAGATCTTTGCTCTTAGGTGAATGATATAAGATGGAATCGTAGGTGCTAAAAACTGATCCTAGCTAATAAAGTCTGATAAGAAGCTGTAGAAAGCAAGAGGCAAATGTGGCGACGAAGGACATCTTCAAGTCGTTAAGAGTTCATTTGAAAAGGAAGGCTAAATTTGAAAATGAGTTCAGCTAGAGTTGTGGTTCAAGAGTGGGGCCAATCCAACCTGACCTCATCGTCGTCAATAATTTCCCTTCATCTTCGCCCGCTTGACTTTTGAATACGTCCAGCTTGAAAGCAGAAACTGTCGAGCATAGTGCACCAATCAACACATTGAAGGCCAGAGGACAAGGAAGTAGTGAATACTTGTGTGCAACTTAAGAGGAGATTGTGAAGGGGTTCGGCTTGAATTCGGCCAGGTGATGGTGTGAAATGTGACTGTTTTATGAGATGTTGGTGAAGTTATGTATAGTCTCACTTTCTTTTGTACGTTAGGAGTTTGCAGAACATATATTTAGAGGGGATGAAATCCCGATTCGCGACTGATTTTCAAATCTTTTTGCAGAAATGTTGCAGGTTGTCTAGAAATGCTCGTGGAGGTCCCATTAATCGAAAATGTTCGATATGTTACCTTCACTCAAGCCTAGCCATTACACTGGCAGATTGGGCCTTAAACACGTAACACGCGAAGATTGTGTCTTCACTTCAATATTTATATTCAGGACTAAATAATGGCAGTACGTGGCAGGTTATCAGTCCAAATCATAGATGTCCACAAAGAGTAGAAAGATTCTCCCTCTAGCGCTAAGTAGAAGTGTAACAAGGGTTCTTCAGTAAGAATCGAAGTGATCGACCGCACTTGGGCAATCTCGTCCTTTGTCAGTGTTATTGGAGACATGATCTTACTTTTACGGCTCCTTATTGAGCTGTATGTCCCTTTCTTCTANCACCGTAACAAATTTGAATCCTAAAAACCAAATATTATAGGGAGAAGGTACTGTGGAACTGTGTTAGATGCGATTCGTCCGAAAGTCCNTCCGTAGATAGCTGATGGCGTGATCGAATCTTCCTTTTCCATTTTGAAAAAATTTCCTTTCCCCATATGTAAAGCGAATCCACTCTTTACGACACGAAACTGCTTTACCAAAAGTACTTTGATTTTATTTTTGACCTACGAAACCAAAAAAAACTAAATGATGAAATGATCTAATTTTTTATTTATCGCTTCGAATTACACAAAAATTTTTCACTATTATTCCTTCATTCATAGTCCACAGAACTTCATAGATTTCTATACACAAAATCTTCCTATAAATGTAGGTGTCTCACGGTTTGGTTTTGCCATGAATTTCTTTACGCGGCTCTTCAGCTATGTTTGTGACGACTTTGTGGGCGATGACACTGAAGATGGCAAGATCTCCTCTGTACGGCACTCCTTGGCTTATTTCAACAAAGCCAGGTCGGTCGTGATCATGGTGCACCATGATGGCTTCAAGATTTTGGGGCGAAATTGCTTCGTGAAATGTTTGAGATGTCAATTACGGTATCATTTATTTATCTATTCCACTAATTCTCCGTGCACCGTAAATGCTCCCACGATAGGTCCTTAGTGGTATCGGTCTAGACGACGAGTCATGCGGGCTGTTGATGACTGCAGCGAAGTGGTAGAGATCAATATTGTAATTTGTGTTTGCAATGACCCATTGAAACTGGCCTCTTTAGAAAAAGGTCAAATCACATTTTTTTAACGTAAATGCAAAATCATTGTTCATATACAGGAATGGAACACCAGTTACTTAGCCCATTCACCTCTGCTGCATTCATTAGAAGAACAACGGAACCAGGGTTTGGTATCTTCTCCCTTAACGCCACGTCGTGCTTGTCGCACCCGCCGCATATCGCGAAAATACGAAGGAAGATTGGAGCGCGTAATCTGTGGATTAGGTGGGGGGCCTTTAATTATTAATTGCCGGCCACTTCTCCATTTCCAATGCGGTCTTGATCGTCGGTAATAGTGAACGAATAACTCCATTAATAAACATAAAAGTAAAAAAGAGAGAGAAATAGTTGAAACGAATAAAAAAAANAAAAAAAATAAAGGCAGTCAACGAAAACATCAATTTACCGAGAGACGGGTTGAGTACGATAATTGCAGGTTGAAGCCGTGAGACAACTAAAAAAATTTGCCGCATGCCACAAAGCGAACGAGGTGATCAGGGAAAAGTTTCGCCGCCCCAGAAGCCGAAGTAACATTGCTAATTCACGAACAAAAAGTTAAACTAAATTTATGACTCGTCAACATAAACTCTGAAGTTAGAAAGTCCACGTCAATGAGCAAATAATGTGAATTGCTGCTTCCCCTAGGCTTCACTCCTTGTCGTATTGAGAGTTCTCAGAGGACTTAGAAAAATCTACTGGTTAGCATAGGGCATCCAGGCCCTCTTCAGCCCTTCCCTCAAACGCTGTGCACCATCAACTTGAACGGACTAACAATAAGTAGATCCTCTGAAACTTCTAAGAAACGGGTAAGATGAAAAAGAGGTCCAGCACACTTTTGAAATGTAAATGAAAGGCCAGCGAAATGTCGGGGACCATTTGCGCTTGAAGAACAAGACCGATTACAACTAGGCTTCCACCATAATCGACTCCTTTTCTGGAATGAAATATTTTATGTGCCTCGAATGTACTAGTCGATGCGCAGCCAAAATTTTGCAAAATTGTTCAACTAAATTTGTAAGCGTCTAGAAGTGAACCGTACTGGAGTTCCAGATGACCTTATACTCCACTTAAAACTTCAAACTAACATGAACTTTGTCTTTAGGCCGCCATCGCTCACATTTTTAGCTCTCTTTCTGGCCCTTTAGCACTTTAGGCGATTGAGACATGTTCGAGATCTTGGGAAATCCCCACATGAATACTCACATTGGAGGGAGGAGCATTGCCAATTTTAGGCGCGGGAGCGCCAGTCAGTAAAGTCTTTCTCAAGAACTCAGAAAGCACTCATTTTACGCATTTTTTGACATTTCAACACAGTACTTGTTAAAACAACACACCTTTAGGATGAATTTTCCCATCATTCCACTCTTTCGGATTTGAAACACTTTGTTTAGATGTGCCGACCACAGTTACTCTTCACAGCTTTACGTGGCGCCAAATGAAAACGCTATGTATGATGCGGAGGATGCTCTAGATTTAGCCACGGAAGAAGAGGATGAAGATGGAACAAGCCAAGCAGTAACGGAAAGGTATCGATTATCACTTCCGCTTCGTAAGAAAAAGGCTATGTAATATGATTCTTGTGAGTGGAACGTGCTGCTTTCAGGATTGTTCATCTGGATGAGGATAGTGGTTCCGTACCGGAGGATGAAGGTCGACCTGTTCGACAAGTCACTGAGCAAGTATCGTCGAAGGCCATGCCACCAGACATTGGAATTAACAAATCTGGTCCACTCGTCGGAGGAAGAGCGCTTCGACCTCGTAAACGAAAGGTAGGTGTTTTAAACCTGCTATTAATGGTGTAATCCATTAGCTTGATGCGAAAGCTTAAGCAAAACTGTATGTATCGTTGTTTCTCTAACAAGAACCTTGGCCACCCTAGAACCGTCACCATAATCTAAAACGATATAAGGGTTACCACCAGCAACTTTCAAATAGGTTGCAAGTACTTCTATTGTAAGCCGTGTCGCGATCCTCAGAAGATCGACATTGAGCAATCTCTTCTACGAATGTCGCCGCGGCTTCAATGGCTTCTGCTGACCCCAACAACAACAACAACGCATTCGGAGTGGATCTCGCTATCTTGCGACCTTTGTCGTTTAGTTTCTTCCTCTAATACTGGAGATACAGAGCCCAACGGCGATCCTTGTCAGGACGGACAATTTGCTGTAGATACTTCTTACTCCTGATGGAAGTGAAGAAGAGGCCGGAGACCCACAGCAGCAACAAACGTATTTGCAGAAAAGTTCTTACTCGATGGTCCCGCTCAAATGAATGACGATCTCTGTTACACGCGTGTCCCGGTCAGCCACTCCCTAACCTCACTTGAAAGGAGTTTAGCTGGTGACGGTAGCTGTGAGCTGGTCCCTCAATGATAACAAGAGGACGTATTGTTGAAGAAGGAGAATGAGAAGAAGAAATTGAGAAGAGGATCTACTCGTGCAGCCTGTGCCGGAACACGCTAGCCGAGAAAAGTTTTCTGTGCTGCTCTGGACACTCGAAGGGAATGCTGTACCTCAAGTTGCGCCTTCAAGGGCAGACAGTTACGGCTCTACAGCAATCAGCTAGAGGAACTCAATGTAAGATTTTCAGGTCAATTGGGCTTCCAGACGGCTAACTAACTTCATTAAATCTAGAGTTCGCCTTATTTACACCCTTCAAGCATTTGAACTAGTTTTCCTGTAGGAATAACGAACGTGCTAATCTTTCAGCTGAGTTTCTCGCCCTCATGTCCTCCATCTCCTAACGTGGATCCTGACTACAACTCTGGGAAGCAGCCTCGCGTACGTGTCGAACTGCGAGGGTTGAAGAACCTCGGCAACACGTGCTTCATGAATTCAGTCATCCAAGCATTGAAGTAGGTTTTGTCAATTTACTGCTTTTTCAGATCAGCTCAATATCTTCCATTCAGTACCACTGATGTTTTTCGTGGGTATTTGGTGCAGCTTCCACTCCTTCAACCTGATGATGATGTGGGTGATGACCACCAGCCGTTGGCAAGTCCGCGATATAATACGAGACGAGCTGCATCTGCGGGTAACACGTCAACATCCACTGCGTCAACCTCAACGCCTACGTGAGGATTTACTCACTTCAAAAGTCAACAAATGAAACCATCACAGAAGAGGGATGATTGGATTTGCGAAGTTTGGGACCGGGGGCAAGGAAGGTTCTCAATCAGATCTAATATGGAATTGAATGATGGATTGATTTGTGTTGACATGTAAGTGGGAGTTCGTGGAAACAATGGGGAACTGACGTTGAGTGAAACAAATTGCAAAAAGGTGCAAGTGTGAAGAAAGCTTCAGAATTAGTTTGATTTTGATTTGATCAGCGCCTCTTTTTCTGCATTGAATGATGGATTGATTTGTTGACAGCTAGAGATGGGAGGAATTCTTCTCATTCCACTCGCGTACCCTTAAAACCATGATTGTAATTAATTTAGCCTGTTACTACAATGAGTAATTTCGATTAAAGACCAGAAATGTAATAGTGACTTCATACTAAACGCTGCTCTGAAGCTGATTAGTCCTCATATTGAGTGCAAATAAAAAATTGGCACACCAAAATGTTATTAATTTTTAATATATTCTCTTCATTCGTCACGATACCATGTACGGATTAATTGGGATAGGAACCTTTATCAAGGAGTGGTCAGCCCATTTATTTGGCATTGCGTATGCATCTGCTGGCTCTCATTTTTTTCTTCATGTGTCAATTTTACATTTCAACTGTTTAGAAAATGTTACTTGGAAGTTTACTGTGAAACCATAGATATGCAAGGGCAATATGCAAGCTTTTAGGGTGCTTGCTGAGGAACTTCGCAAAGTTATGATTCGTTTGAGTGACCTTCAGTGTGATCAGGCTGTTTCACCTGATGAGCTGTTCCAGTCAGTATGGAAAATTTCTCCTAGGTTCAGGTGCGTTCGTTGAGAATTACTAGTTTTTAGAAAAAAAAGATCATTCTCTGTCACAGAGGGTATCAGCAACAAGATGCTCATGAGTTTCTGCGTTGCACTATGGATCGAGTCCATTCGGAGCTTAGACGATGCCGACTGCCGGAATCAGTGGATCAATGGCTGGCAGCAGCATGTGGGGGCAGTGAGTCTCCCAATGGGTCTGCAGTTACGACCTTGTTCGAAGGCTCCCTGCAAAGTCAAGTAGTCTGTCTGACGTGTCATACTGCAAGTAACAAGCATGATCCTTTCTTAGGTAAGCAATGTTACCGTTTCACATAAGCAAAAGAATTAATGCGGAAACACTGTTAATACTGATAGTAGCACTTCACAATAGCCCCCTTCAATATAGTTGAGATGAACGCTTTCAGATCTCTCTCTTGATATATTCGTGCCTGCTGCGAATGGCAGGGCTAGTAATGTGCGGTTGTCAGAATGTATAAAGCGATTCTTCGCTAAAGAGGAACTGGATCATTGTGAACAATATATGTGCAGCAATTGCAAAGACAAACGACCATCAACCAAGCAACTTTTTCTACGAGTACTACCGAATGTAAGTGCTCGGGGCTGGTTTTCTCGAATACATGCACGAAAATCGTTTTAAAGGTGTTGTGTCTTCATCTGAAGCGCTTTCGGTGGTCCCATTTCAATAGAGGCAAACTCGATAATATGGTCGACTTCCCACTGAGCGGGCTCGATATCACACCGTTTATGGCCCAGGTTCGTGTTAATACAACTTTTCGAGTTAAACTCTTTTTCTCGATTCACGGCCAAACTTATGTTTTCCTCTATCACTTCACTGCCAGAAGGCGATATTTATTAGAGTGATCAAAGAGGTTTTTTTATTGAATCGTTGAGAAGAAGGGTTGTCGAACCTTTTTAGAGCGGTAGATATTTTCAGTGTGCAGCTTCTCGTGTCGCGGAAAATTCTGGCAATATAACTTTCGATCTATCCTCTGTTGTTGTTCATCACGGATCTGGGTAAGTGGTTATGTAATTTTCCGGGTGCATTCCTTTAAAATAATTAGTTTGATAAATTCTCCGCCAGTGTTTGATATTTAGATTTTTTTAGATTTTCCTCCCTAAAATCACATTCCTTCTCATTCTAAGTTTAACTTTCAAAACCTCAGAAGTTAATGTTGGCTCCGTTACGGAACATACCGACTTACTGTCAAAAAATCTCACAAAGGGAGTAAAATGTTGCCAGAAAGACAGGCATGCTCCCGAAAACCTTACGTCAAGTAATCACACGGTAGATACAAGCTTTCCCTGAAATGAGTTCCTGCTTCATTAAGATATGTTGCGAGAGGAACAACTTGCTCAATCATCCCTTGATAGTGTCAGGGAACATTTACCTTCCTTAAATCTGAAACTGCCTGGTTTTCTGGTTTTGCTAATGTAGGAACGCTTTTTGTAAACTAAGTGACATGGGCTGTTTAGTAACTGAATTATATTGTAACTTTTCCTGTACCTAGTTTTGAACATCATATGGAAGTGCAAAAAAGAAAAGCAAAAGTTCGTTTTTTTAACAACGTGGTGAAGGATAGGAAGTCTGCAGCTTAGTGAAATCTCATCTCAGTCAGATAACAGAGGGGACGGTTTACTGGAGAAACGTCGAAACTGCATTGCAGTAATCGAAAATTCGTGGGTATCGCTTAATGACTGTTTTTACGCCTTAGCTTCATGGGCCTATGCATATGACTCCTTTTCAATGCCAAAAACAATCTACCAACACTTAGTTTGAAACAAATAAATTTAAAGTTGAACACAATCACAACCACCACGAAAATGTTTGAATTCACTGATTAAATAAATTGAAAGGAGGTGTTCCAGTTAAAAATTACAAGAATTCAAGAAATCCTTATTCTCAGCTCTGTGGTGATGTCTATTAATTACAGAGTAACATCAGGCCATTACACTACCTATGGTCAGCGGGACGGTCATTGGTACCACTTCAATGATGCGTCCGTGAAGGCTTGTTCTGAGCAGACGGTGCTCAAACAAAAAGCTTACCTACTGTTCTATACGCGTTCGTCTAGACGTCGCTCATAGCGCTTGCAAAGGAAACGATTTAATCATAGTACATCTTATGCGAAGGAAAGTGAGCAGTTTATGTCGATGAGTGTGACAGGTGGATGAGGATATCGCCTTGACGTTTGCTTATTGCTCGCCTCAGGAGCTTACCTATCCCTCATCCAAATGGGCATTATCATTCACGTGAACCGTTCATATAGACCCAAACGGTGACCTTCTCTCCCAGGGAGTAGGTCCAGCATAAGAATTACCATCATGCGGGTGTACCACAATGTGCAAACTCTAGAAAGCAGCAGCCGGTCTCAGTATATCTTAATATGTTTATAATATTCATTTTCTATCTCTATGCTCTTCATATTTACTACATTGTACTATATGTGATATTGCGTGTTCTATTCAGTCATAATGCTGTTTTATCTTTAAATTCACAGGAAGTGTTAAAATTCTCTTTCATTTTACCTCGGTTTTTGGTAGGAATTATTGTAGAATTGATGTGTTTGTTTTCTAGGTAGATGTATTTGCCGTGAGTGTGAGGTGTTCGGCTAACAAACGAGCCGAGCATTGTTTTCATCAATTTCTACAGTGATAATATTATGGCTTCAATCAATTCAATTTCCCTGTACAACATAAAGTGTGTAAGGAAAAGGAAATTCAAAGTGAACAGTTTTCGATGAGACCTATGAGAAACACCAATATTGAAAATAGTGACGGCATTTACTATTGGGGCGGTTGGTGTTAAGCAAATTCTTGACGAAAACTGCCAGCTTAACATTTCAGCGCTGAAATCGACTGACCGGCTCACTACGTTGGGCCATTAAGAAGGGCGAGGGCAAGCGGGCTCTTGGTAGTGTAAAGGATAAGAGCACGGTGCACGTTAGCACAAATGCGGGTACGAGCCCGTAGGGTTGAACTTTTGTCCATAACTTGCCAACCTTGTGTAAATGAGTATGAGTAATTTGTGGGACATGGGTGGACTAGGATATTTGACATCGTCCTTACAGCACTTTATGGTGAGATTCAACATTTTCGATACTTCCTTTTTCAAACCGGCAGGGGAATAAATACACTTTAGAAAAGCAGTATATCGAAGTGTTCATTCGAAGATAATGCGCGTTTCGTTGTTTTATCAATGACTGAGATCGATATATATTCATTGCATTAGATGTGCATTGTTTTTGTAAATGTCCGGTTTTATACAGCTTTTTCCTATTCCGTATTCGAAGTATAAGAGCTTTGTCACGAAATCATCGCTTTGACGTATTCCTACCCATGTAAAACCGAGGTTAAAACGGCCCGTTTACGGATATCGGTCATAATCAGGTGTGAAGATCTAGGCGACGTCGTTTGTTTCCTGTTCGATTTCTTTCTAGTAAGCAACTTTCTTAATTTATTCCGTTGCTTCAAAGCTGTATTCAATGAATCTTTTAGTCGACGACCACAAATACATATACATAATGATGTCATTTGACTGGTTGTCCTTCAAAGTTTTGTGATGGGGAAGTCATTTTTATAGTCGGTCGTTCGTCGTGGGATCTTTTATTGATGAGCTTTTTTTTTGTACACTCTAACTGGTGGACATTACTGGTGTATGTTTACCTGCTGATTGAAGCCAACATGATCGATTGATAAAAATAATGCTAACTGGTCCACTTCTCGGTTGTGCACCCGCACTATGATGTAGGTTAGACACCTGGCTAGTCACTTGTTGACAACACTGGACGTCGATGGCTCATGCGCTATTGTTGTCAACGAGTGGCTAGCGCCGCTGTCGCTCGGTCGGTCGGTCGGTGGGCGCTCGTTGAACTCTGAAAGCAGCCTATGTGTGCAGTCGCCCAAATCTCAATGGACGTGGCAAAATGCGCGGCGAAGTCGTGGCAGTTCTGGTGCCTATCATTTGGGACCACGTCTAAAGTAGATTGGATAAGTAGGGCCAGCTGNTGCTACTTATCTACCCTACTTCAAATTTGTGCCCAATGGTAGGCGTCAAATTCGCTCATATCGCACCGGATTTCACCGCGTAGCTTGCCGCGTTCATCCGGAGCTGGGCGAATTTTCAGTGCCCCCAATGGGACAGGTACTGTAGGCTACCGAGCAGCAATTTTTCCTCAGGTTTTGCTTTGTGGGAATAGGTTGGGGTTGCAACATTGGCGGGCTGTGAGTTCACTTACCCGTTCCCTCGATACGAACTCTCTTGAAATGTGATCCCTTGAATCTTTTCGGAGAGAGAAACGAAGAATCATATCTCCCACATCCTGGTGATGGGGATGAAGGCTCGTTAAAGTCGCCACGTTGAGGGTTATGATTTGTTCAGCAGAGGCGTAAATGTGCTAGTTCAATGGCCCCTTTGCAATGAAATGGCACACACCGTTAGTCGTCTGCACGTCAGGCATCATTTCAAATTTTGCTGATGTGCGGGTGGGGGGATGCGCAAGGGAATGTGAATGTGAGTGGGAGGGTGAGGGTGTGTTATAGACGAGGCTGCTTGCTGGTCGTTGTTGTTATCGATCCAGAAAAGGCAACGGTGAGGCGGCCCGGGGGGCATTTCAGCAGCTCAGCAGCAGCTTAAGCTTAAGCACCACCACCACCAGCAGCAGCCGCGCACGACGTCCTGTCGTCGCGCGCGCGGCGACGGCGCGGCGCCGCCAATGCGATTGCCCCTCCCGGCCGCCTGCGCCTCACTCACCCTATCCCTCATCGCGTTATCCCTCTGAACTTGCTGCTATGTTGACACTGATGCTGCTTTTCAATGTTTCTTTATTTCGGTAATGGTAATACTTGATTATAGGTGATATTACGTAGTAATTTATTGTTTAGATCTATTTGTCTCGCTCTTCGGTGTTTTTCCATTGTACATACAAGATAAACTTATTTTAGATATTCTTCCTTGTTAAATTCGAGCTATTCGAGTCTTTGTCTCATCCCATATTTGTCTTTTCATGTAGGATTCAGAAGGGGATCGATTAGATGATGTTAGAAATGAGCGTGTGGAGTTCTCTTGTGTGTTTGCATGTGCTCCCACAAAAAGTCTCTTCCTTTGTGAGCTATCATTTGGGGCGGAAGCACACTGGAAATCACCGTATTCGGGCAAAATGAAGAGAAGGACACTGTTATGGGAAGGGATTACTTGGGATTTGTATCCTAGGTAATATATTTTACCCATCTTTCTATCGATACAAAGGGTGACATTTCCCACATCCTTCTCGTTCAGGTGACTTTGACATTAATCCAGAAATATCGTGCCTGTTTATGTGCACCTGGGTGATTCTGGGTGATTGGGANTGATTGGGAGCTTTGTTAGGGTAGCAGAAATGCATGCACTTTGGTGACATCTAACCTGTCCAGTAAATCTGCAGTAATTATATGGGGAATGACCCCATAAGGGGTAAAACAACCTTGAACAAATAAACTGGGAGTTGCCAATGGCGGGTGTTTTGGCGGCAGCGGGCGCCTTAGTCCAGTAACGCATCTGGTGCCATTATTCAACATGTTCCCTTGCTGTTCTTTTCCCTTCATTGATTCTCACCGCTCTATGCTTGCATGGGTCATGCCATTTCATGTGGGCAGCTTTATTTATCCATGCCATTTAGGGTACTACAGGATTGAAAGGTATTCGGAAAGTCTTCGGGAAAGACTTATTGTACTGGCGAAGATAAGAGTGGAGAGTTAGATTGCCTGGCCAATTGTTTCTACCAGAGGGTGTAAGAGGTTTTGACTTGGGGTTTCCCTTGGTCGTTAATGTTTCTGCCCGAATGTTCTCGATGATTTTTCTTCTCTGGTATTCTGCAGGTATACTTCCACTGAAGAGATCTTAGTAATCAACTCCTGCATTCAGTGGCATTATTTTGGCTTTCAAGTAGTTCATTACATTTATTTTTTGTGAAGGATGTAAGGGATAAAGAGCAAAGTTATTGATTTTCAAGAATCCCAGAAGTAACAGCTTGTTTGCCCTTCTTTTTGGAATGACAGGGTGTTTCACTAGTTTTATGAACTATGCGATATCTGAGTAAAAGCAGCTCATAGTCGGTTAATTGTTTTCACTAGCTCAGGTAGGTAGGTATGTTGTGAATACAGGAGTTACTCCAAGGCTAGTGCCAACGATAGGCAGCGGGTAGCTTTGCAAACTCTTTTGCAGAAAGAGTATTTGTGACGAATCTGTTGCGCTATGGCTTGCACCTAATTGCTCACTTCTTCTATGGCAAAAGGCAAAAACGTGTACCACCCGAGGATAACGGATGACTCCGCCGCTGCAGTGTTGTCAAATAGCAAATTGGGCATTAGAAGGCACACGGGTGTCACAAAGAGGGGAGTGGGGAGTGGTGACTTCAGACCTGTAGCGAGGGATCTCCTATTCGACAAGAAAGCGCAGACCCAAGCAGAAAAGTAGCCGCGTGAGCTCGAGGCGTTTGTGACATGCCTACAGATTGGTAAGGTCAGACATCAGAAGCTGTTAGGTACCTCCCATCTAAGGACGAAGCAGGCTTCATCGTGGACTCTAAGGGAGATGTGATCTTTAAGTGACTGGCAATCACGCTTATTATAAGCCCGTAATGGCAAACTTGAGCTATTGTGGCACTGGCGAAGGGCTCAATGTTCTACACAGTGAGGTGGAGTAGCTCTGCTTGTGAATGCCTTCATAGCAACCTTTCATCCGACCTCTGATAGTTTTCCTGAGTAGCTCCGTGTTCTGGAAAAAATCACAAGACAGTTTTCGAGGTGTAGTATTACTTCATACCTTAACCAGTCGAATACCCTGCTTCGTGCTCGTGCAGTTTTCCCATATGACATTGTATGATGAAAGGAGGTGTAGTAGTAAGGGTACACTATCGCACACTCATGTTCGGGGATCGAATCCTGGATTGGTATCTAACCAAGCCTCCCACAGTCAATTGGAGTAGTTCTTCTTATAAATGCCTCCGGGATAACCCTCCACCCCACCTCTGATAGTTTTCTTAAGTAGCTCCGTGTTGTGGAGGAAATCAGACGTCGACCAAGCCTTCGATCCACCAGGGATTGGTTACTCACCAGAGACCAACTCATTCGGGAGGATAAAAGCACTTAGTTGTACATCGGCCACCCACAGCAAGTCATTGTGTAGGCCAAGTGTGCATTCGGTACTCCACTACAATTTTGAATGGAAGTCGGCCGTCGAATCGCATTTCTTTCCAAGGGGTTTTGGATGTACTTCTACCTTATAATGGAGGGAGACGATTTGATCGGGCTTTTTGAAACAGGCATGGGTCAGCTCTTGCCAATGCCGTCGACACTTTAGAAGTACGTTGCCGCACGCGATGCGGTCTCGGTTAATCATGCCCTACACTTCATCTCTGATCTATGAAACGCTCCCGCTGAAGCGCCATCGGTGATGGCAGGTGCTAACTCAGAGACCCTCAGAATCCTGTGAATAAGTAGGGTCGGTAGGTGCTGTCGTGGTAGCCCATTTGTAACCAGTCGTCCCACACCCACCTCTTGTTGCAGAAATGCTATGGGGGAAAAGAGTAGGCAATGCATGGGCGGCTTTGAATGATTGCGGCGCCATTTTAATGGGTGTATAGTACCATTAGAGTTTGATGGCTTTGGCTCGTCGTTAGGGTTCAGAATACTTTGCCCATCAAAGGATTGCTCCGCGCGTGCGCGCGACCGTGGCAATTCGAGCAATGTCGCCGCCCTCGTCAGCGTCGTTCGATATCCCCTGAGTTGTTGATTCGTGCTGACACATAATGAATTCAAGGTCGTACATCAACAGATAATTGCTTTTACACTGATTGCTTGATACTTCGCGTTGAGTGCGACTTCGCTCCTCGATCAACAATTGCTTGTTTGTTTCGTGGGGCCAAATATTTCAACTTGAGATGTTTTCATAAATAGACAAGAACGGAACATGATATGACATAAGAAAAAGAGTGATGCAGAACAAGGCTGTTGAGACTGGTAATTTCCAGAACGAGCCACCGACCTGAGGCGATCGGCGGCGGCGCCGACGCCTATCGGTCCGAAGTATAAAGGCGCTAAACAGGCCACCTTTGCTGGTTGGACTCCGCTGCCTTCAATGAGCAGGCACCTGCAACATCTTCATAGAAAACCTGGGTGCCTTTTTTTGCTATGAAATGACTTCGCTGTTGTCTTTGTTTCGTTTGTTTTAGTTGAGTTAATTTCAGTGCTTACTTTTTTTGCAAATATTAGTGCGGAGGGTATTTACTAGAAGACTTGCGAGAAAAGTGTTCTTTTGGGAACCGAAAGCTGTTCAGTCATTTGGTGGGAAAAGCTGCCACAGCTGGTGAAGGCGATCGTGTCCGGACCATGCAAGGTGGGCTAGTTTTCGCCTGGCCACCGTATATGATGAGCCGCCGGTCGTCCGTGTCTGCGGTGAATGACTTCTCGATTGAGTATTTATTGGTGTTATTGGCTTTCTTTCTTTTTTTGTAAATGGATTCCTTAGTTTTTTTTTGTCCTACGGTATGATGGGAAAAACTACATATATCATAAATACAGAGCTCTACGTAGCTCTGCATAGGAAATAACATGCTCCAACGCAAAGACCATTAGCGTCAGCGCAGGCGCACGCGCTAATGCGGTCTTGACGCTTTGCGCTCAACGCTCACCGCTCACCGCTCTACTCTGGAAGCGTTCAGTGACGGCTTTCATAGTTCACACTGTGCAATGGGCTGGTTGATTGCTCACAGCTGCTGCGGACGGAACTGATATGACGTACATGTCTCCATGCGGCAAACGATGTCGTATCTCTGCTGGGTTATATTAGGGCCAAACATGTTTGAGGCTTGAGACTGATTTGGTCTACTTCATTAATCTAATCACGGTGCCATGTAAAACTCACATCGAACACCAACGTCGATTGAGCCATCACCTCCACAGATAACTGGTTTGATTGTTCATTACACATCGTTTTTGATTTCTGTTTATGTTGCCGGCTACGTACCTACTTATGACGCCTATTGTCCATGCTCTCTGATAGTCGTTCGATACTCAGGCTCAAACGAAGGGTTTATTCGACATCTGCTTGATAGACTAGTGTATGCATGATTACTGTGTCTAGTGACCACTTCTTCCGTTGATTATGGACTGTTACAAGTCAGTAGGGTTGCTGAAGAGGGGTCTTGTTCTTTTTTATAGGTCTTTTGGACTAAGAACGTTTCCGCGGCTTTATGATCAACAGCACTCCAGTTACAAGGCTTGCGTCCGTGCGGTGTGGCTGACAATTCTTGTTTTTTTCTCATTCCTTCCACTTCATTGAATTTCGTGACTAAAAGATATTGAGCGTGAAAAACTGTCTATTCAATATTATGTGAAAATTATTTTGAAAAAGTAAGCGACGGATGCAAGGGTATTACGAATTTGATGTAAGGAAGCTGATAATTGAGATAATCACTTGATGCTGTTGGCTTCGTTACTATCTTTACAAATCGCTATTTTCAAGTTTCGAGGGTGGCCTGTTTTTCTGGACCTTCAGTTCACTATTGACACTTTTGAGACCCTGAAGCCGAGTAGAAGCAGTGTAAAAGAATGTTGTTCTCACTTGAACGATTTCCTTTTAGACTCATATTTCTCGGATTCGGGGCATCTAGTTTACAGGAATGGTGTATTTAGTGCTGGCACAGTGTCGAGAGACGACCAGTGTTCGGTAAATTGAAGCCAGGGGAATCAGTTTACGTTGTTTTTCGTGCTCTATTCGACATTTTCAAATGTTATTACACTTATGTTCTCGAAGAAATCATCCACAACCAATTTATTCATTCGATTTTCCCGTTCCACTATTCTCTTCGAAGAACAAGCTCGTTATGACGCTAGAGCTCAGTTGAATGCCAAAGTGTAAATTACACGTCATACGCAGACAATGGCAACTGTTACATCTTTCGCATTCTTCTTCGAGGCTAATTGGGACTGGTGAGGGACTTGCGGGTGTTTGCCTTCATCGATTATAGCAGTACATGCAAGGAGTTCACTTTGCTTTCAGCCTGGTTTTTATGCAACCACTCGAAAGTTCTTTATAAACACTTCCGTCAGCATGTTTCGCCAACGCCCAAATAGGAACTGGGAGCTTTTCTGAATTGATTACTTCATTTGATAAAATGTTTTCTACCACTTCAGTTTCCAAACTTGCTCACATAGATTCGCGAGAGGAAATTGCTGTTCAAGAAATGACTGCACAGTGATCTCACAGGAGCAAGTTAACAAAGGCTAAAGGGCTGAGTAAGGCTGAAATCTTATGACTTGTATTCGTCACCACCGTACGGAAGCCTTTTACTCTGTGTTCGTTATTTTTGAGTGTTTATAGTTGCAAGTATTTACTATAATCGGAACCTCTTGAATGGTCCAACATCTATTTCGAACTTTTCCGTACTTCCATGTTTTCGTGATGATTTTTGTCTTCTGAATGGCATCTTTTCTCGAACAGCTTCTGATGCATAGCGTTTGCTTGCAGGTGATGGAAAGCGCGGGATAGAATGACATTCAAATGGCCATGGCAATATGATTTTCCGCCTTTTTTCACGTGAGTTTGTGAAGCTTCGAAGGAAAAAAGGTTTTAATATAGTTCCAGTAGTTTAGTATGATATTTTAGGCGTAGTATATAAGTGAGTGTGTGGCAATGCGTAGGGCCCATAACAGATGAAAAGTGCTTTTATAAATTTTTGATGAAGAAATTACCGATGCGTAATTAAAACAGTCTGCGGACTGGAGACTGAGCGGTGGTCAGAATGACATCAGCAGCTTCATCTTAAGAGATTACACGTCAGTAAATGTTTTATTGACGCCCTTTATGTGAAGCGTACTTATTACAACTTTCGGTGTCGACTGTGTGGGATGCCGCTCTCATGAAACACCCATCAACCAGTAATGATCGATATTGACGCTAACGATTTAGTACATATAACCCAAAATCTCATCCCATTTCTTTATCCTTGATTTTCTGAAGCGAGTGGATTTGTTTAAAAGGACCTACATTGATCGACAAACCAATATTCAGCCGATTACATATGAGATTCTTTACAGTTCATACCTATCCAGCGGTATCGGCTTCCTACGTTTGAAACGCCTGCAGAAAAGCCTTAATTTAAGACGTGTGAACTTGGCTCAGCACAGAGGTTATCTGAACAACCCTTTCCCTCCTGACCAAATCATTTCAACGACCCAGCCAATGTTGACTCAGTAAATTATAATTTGTATTCGTCATCTCAAAAGGAGGTCTTTGCTAAGTCCTTCAGTTTGACCTGGCGTTAAGACCCTACTCAGGCCCTCGCCGGACTCGAAAGCATATAAATTGGGTACAACATCTATAGAGCTCTCTGTTTTTCTCGCAGTTCAAAGGTTACAACGGTTTTTCTGATTTAGCAGTAGGTATTCATGATTTCGACTATGAAGACTATGAATGATTTTTATCCGAGTGCTGAAGAAATAGGGGGAAATTTCGTTTCCGCTTTACACCGTCCCAATCCTATTCAATGCTGCTTCTCTAATTTCTTTTTTGATAAATTTTGACATTCAAGAAATGTTCCTTTCAGCCTTCAACCAACGTTAGCTACAAGAGAGAAACAGTTAGAAACGTGGGCTAGTTTGGTGATAGACTACGCACAACACAATAAGATCTTCACACTCGACGTCGCTGAAGTGGCCAATAGTGAACTGTTCTACAACCAAAAACTAAATAGTAAGGTTTTTTGCAATATTTGAGTGCTATATAACCTATACGTAAGGTCTACTTCCACAGTTGAATGAGGATTTCGCTGCAAAGTTGAGAGACAAAGGACATTATAGAAATGCAATTCTTGTAGTTCTCCAAACTTGCAATAGCTAGAATTGATCGACCATTTTTGAATCAGTTCTCATTTTTTTTTCAATTTGTGTTGTTGTTCGAACATTGTTGGATTACCTATCCGATTTTTCTTCCATTGTAATGTTTTTTACCCTAAAATTCCATAGATAAGAGCGGTTGAACCTACCGGTGAAAAATGAATTGGAAAAAATCGAAATTGAATGCAGTCACCCCTCTAACTTGATGGATGGATAAATTGAACTTCGAAGAAGAAGTTAAGAAAAAACTCCGCCCCTCAACTCTAAACCCCGCCCACTTAATAAACAATTCATATAGAAAAATAGCGATTTTAGCGGATCGCTGTTTTTCTATATGAATTGTTTATTAAGCGGGCGGAGTTCGGAGTTAAGGGGCGAAGCTTCTTCTTAACTTCCTCTTCGAAGTTTAATTTATCCATCCATCAAGTTAGAGGGGTGACTGCATTCAATTTCGATTTTTTCCAATTCATTTTTCACCGGTAGGTTCAAGCGCTCTTATATATGGAATTTTAGGGTATCTGGAATTTGAAAATTTACCGCATAATCGTTTTTCAATCGGTCGTATATTAAAACTAATGATGATTAATTATTCCCATAGCAGGTCTTGAACAGCAATGTCCCGATTTAGTCTGATGGTCAGACGTTCTTTGCTTAGCACGACGTGACACCCTGACGTTCTTCGCCCTTCAGGCATGGAGCTACTGACCAAACGAAACCCATTCCGACTCCCACCCTTCCAACAACCACTACAGCGATGCAATGGTGGACCACTCCCTCTATACTTTACAGCCAATTCGGTTATTAACTGGCTTCCTTGACATCACGCGACCGGCCGCGGGCCAAATCGTGGACTATGAAAGCAGCCATTTAGCACTCTATCAACTCAGCGAACGATTGGTAGCGGAGATTGGCATGGTGAAGATTTTAGACAGGGATTAATTAGCTGACCCACTATTCCTTTGTACTGGAAATTCTGCTTCCATATGCGCGTGCAGCTACATCAGTAGGTAGTGTGGACTTCATTGTTTTGCTTGTGCAGATTAGGAGCAGGATCTGGACGATTTACTCTCTTAATTCTTTATTAAATTTTACTATTGAGAGACAAGTGTGGGTGGTGATACGGTATGGGGCAAAAGCGTATAGAAAATCGTGAGACTTGTCCCGTTTTTGTAATGTATGTACTGCAAACCAAAATTTTCCAAGTGTGGCTTCATATGAATTGGATCAGCGTTATAAGATGTACTTGTATTTGATCCTTTTCTGCTTTAGGGCGCCTTTCTCCTGAAGGAATTCGTGCTGTGTTCGACTACCTCGAGCAGAAAAGTAAGTCTTTTGTAGTGTATTTTTTTAAATTTTCTCGTAGAAGCCAGAGTAGCTTTTTGTGAGCGTAGCAAACAAATGAGTTAACAAACGGAATGGTTGTTTCTAGAGCACGTCGAGTGGATCGATATTGTGAAAACCCGGTGTCATATCTATTGGCGGCGCCCGGACGAGTGGGCGGCTTTGATCTACGCGTGGGCTGTTTCAAACGGTTTGCTGAACACACCGTGTACTTTGTATGAGATCGCACACGGAGACGATACTGTACAAGAATGTGAGTGGCTCTAGGATTCATCCTCATTCATGGCATAGTTCGGTTCAGCTTTGAGTTTACCCTTGAATGGCCATTTTTGATGTTCAATGGGATGACTTTTTAGTTGAGATACTTACTGGAAGGAAAATTAATCGCTGTCTGACAATGGTGAATTAGCGATTTAAACTTGTGTGTCTTTCTACTTTTTGTGATTGTTCTGTAAACATGCATACCATACTGCTTCAGCTTTGTAAACATAGTTCAAATCCCATCATTGCAATTTCGCTGCTTCTTTCCAGTGTGCCCGCCGATTAGTAAGGAAGTCGCCGAGTAAGGTTATTGAGAAAGTTTAGTGTCTATTGACTGAAGCGTGTTGAACTTTCAACCAACATTGAAAACAGTGTTGAGGATAAAACAATGGATGTTCATACTCCAGATTTCGCCTATGCTCCCTAATTTGACAAACTTTTATCTAAATTCTCAATCACTTTCTGAAATTTACGAGATGAATAAGTGTTTTCAGCTTTTTACGGTTTGGAAAAAGACGTATTGGTGAAAGCACTACGAAGTCTAGAGCTGCAGCGACGTGCACAGTTGATGAATATTGGCACGGAGTCAGAGGGTGTCAAGTTCCTGCAATAATACTGTACTTTGTTTGGTAAGCGTTGAAGATTGTTTTTCTTCGAGGTTATTTTTACTGCAGTGCTTTTAATGTTACCATTACCAGGGAATAGGGCTGTCTTTTTTNTTTTTTATGTCGGTTGTCATTATTTAGTAAGAGGCTTTAGGTTTGTCTCATTGCCAGAATTTATCTTGCGAGTATTTATCGTCAATTATGGCTGTTGTTTTTGCTCAACCCAACAAGTCGGACAGTTTGGACAGTTCTACCTCTGCTCCTTGTAATCCAAGTAAGTATTTTGAAACTTGTTCTCGCACTTCTTAATAATTTTGCGTACCATTTCAAAATGGGGGCAGCCTTTTATCTTTACGCTGAGCCAGGACAGGGGATCCCTACTACCGATCAATCGCGTGACGCACTTATGCTGAGATTTCAGCCCTTGACAGCATTATAACGTACTATGCTGTCACCATTTCGCTTTTTTCCGATCGGTCAATGCTCAGACTGACTCACAAACAGTAGAGCATGAGGCTGTTTAATGTCGCTCTCCTTACGGGTATGATTGGGTAAATCACGGGTAGTTCTACTAATGCGCAGCTCACAGTATTCTATGAGTGGAGAAAGGAATTAGTATTGACTGATGTCAAAGTTTTCACCTCTCACCTGCAGTTCTTTGATTGCTACATTGCATATGCTAAGTAATGCTATCTGACCAATCTCTATACAGTTTGATATTGATCGGAAGCGATTGTTCGAAGTTCAGTGGAAAAGTAGAACATCATGCTTAGAAAGCCGTAAAACACACACAAACCAGGCCCATCAAATCACTGTGTTACGTATAAAAAAAGGGAAAAAAATTATTTAATACGCTCTCACCCACCAAATGGTTTTTTGCTCTTTTATTTTTTTTTGTAAGCTTTCAGCGTTTGTGTAAAATCTATCTTCAGATGCTCCCTCGTTTTTCAAGTATTCGGAGCTGATCGAAGAGGGCGACACCGTCATCATTTATGTAACCTTTGACACGACGCATGCTATCATAGCAAAACGTGGTCTCACACTTTGCATGAAGTACGGTGCTCTTCGGCATGAGTTTGTGATTGGAAAGCCGTGAGTAAACTTTTTGTTTATTAATTATTGTCGAAACATTGGACCGATGCAGTGGCAAGATTCAGTTTGTTTCCCTTCACTACCATTAACCCTATGCATCCTGCCCAGGACTACCTAAAGCTCTGGTTATTTGTTGTTAGAGCATTGTGAGTAGAGATCGTCTTGGTCATCAGTCGCCATGCTGGTCATGATTTCTCAGAGACGCGCCAACAAAAGTCTCCATGTCATCATTCGTTAAGGCAAGAATGACAGCAGAACAAAAAAGATGCAGCATGATCATACCTTCTCTCGATTCCCTCAAGTTCGTGGAGTCTCTCCTCATTCTTCAGTTCGGCTGCTGAGCAGGACTAGTCATGTTAATTATTCAACTCCGCGTTCTGAGCAGTTTTCAGTCAAATGTAGTAGGATCATCGAGAGAACTCAATTTTTCATTGACTACTGGCCCTCGAACTTCGTTTCCATGTGTTCCCTTGAAACTGACTTTTGTCGCTTTCGCAGAGGCATTGAGAACTTTTGGCAAAGTGTTAACCCTTTAGAGTCCTTCACGATGTGCTGATCCCTTGCTAGGTGATGAGTTTGTGGTTGCTGTTGATAAGTTCAAGAGCTCAAGCTTAGTGTGAAGGAACAGCCGGTCGCCAGAGCTTGGATAACTTCTTCGTGCTAACAAAGGCAGAGGTCCTCTTCTAATCGATGAAAGAGAGTCACGACGTCTCCCTTTACTCATGCGACACTTCAACGAATCCCGAGGGATAATCAACGTCATCGTCAGAGTTTACTTCATATGTAGCGACACAGTTTTGGTGATTTTTCTCAAAAAGGATTCCTTCCAACCAGGCAGGTGAGGTATGAAGTACTGAGCCGTTAGTTGGTGGGAAGTTCTTTTGTTCTCTTAGTCTATACCTGTCAAGGACGAGCTCAATGCTATTCCGTTCACCGAGAATTCGAACCCGTTGCGCTCCCGTGGGTTTTCTCGAACCTAAAGTCTTCTAGTAAACTCACAAGGGAAGGGAATTGGATTGAAACGTCTTATAGCTCCGTTTCCTGAGAGCAACTCCCATTCCACATTTGAAAACCAGACCCCGCACAGGTGCGATTCTGCGTAGAACGTCGGAGCTACAGGGGTCAGATTCGGTTGAGGATGATCCATTGCATCATGCAACTATTGCGGGGTGTCTTTAAATGAATATCATACGGGAATAATGCCAAGGTTCTCATGAATATTATGTGAAATTCACGAAGTAAAGACGAACTGTATTTTTGGAATTTCACAGTGTGGTTTGAAAGAGTTCGTGTATCTTGTCTTTAATGGGACGACCGGGTTTTTCAGTATATATGGCCGGACGTACATCCTGAAAGCCAAAAGATTCGTACATAAGATCTACGAATTTCTCTTTAATAACAGCAATTGTTCAATCATGTTCTGAAAATTCATGGAACATGCAAGGAAGAATCTTTGATTTACTATAAAGATGCGACATAGATTATTCAAAGAGTACAGATGCATTTTCCAGATGGGGATCACGTATATCGGCTACAGCTGGTTATGTGTACGCATTACGTCCAACACCTGAATTGTGGACACGATCATTACCACGTCGCACACAGATACTTTATACACCCGACTGCAGCCTTATTTTGCAACTCCTGGACGCTCGACCAGGATCGGTGAGTTTATTGCAGCTTCAAGGATACCTACCCATTCGATTTTTGTTGTTGAACTAGAAGAATTTCAAAAGAAAGGCCGTCTCCTTGAAAGCCTGTACCTCCGTAATCTATCACCAGTGTAATTCTGATTCTTTGTTAATAGAACGGTTGACTTTTTGACTTTGGAACGACTTTCAAGGAGTGTGCTTGGCTTCTGAGTTAGTTGTAAAAAACAGTTTTGATTAGACTTTGTTATAGAACTTGTGATTGAAAGAGTAGATCAAGAATCAGTGCAGTTAGTTTCCATTAGCGAGCGAGACATACAAGCCATTTTGTTGCTTTTTTTTTCTTTTCTGAGCTCGATTTTCATGGTTCTTCTCGAATGCGACATCGGAGCAGCTAATTAGCATATATAATCGGTGTATGAAAGTATAAGTGTTCTCATAATTCACTCAGATTTCATTTGCATATTCGAATACCAATAAGAAGAGCTATCCCTTGATTCTCGTTGGTGTCACCCCTATCATGCAACTTATATTCAGGGAGTGATCATGGAGGCATGTCTATGATGTAGGGCGAATCTTGTAAGTCACCTGGGATAAGGTCGTCGCTTATTCACCCTTTTCATTACCGGAATTCACCCGTTCTATGAACAAAGAAGAAAACTTGCACTGGCGATAAGATTGCGGAGGTACTGGCTTTCAAGGAGTGTGCTTGGCCTTTGGCTGAGATTTTGGACGGCAGCGAAAGCTAGAGAAATGATGGAAGTACCTGACCATAGAGTTTTTCTTTTCCTGTTGGTAGCGTGAGAGCTTTTCTTATATCGTTCTTCGTTCAGTTGGCCATTTTTATACTACCAGAGCTTTGGGGAGAGCTGAAGGGGTTCGGCACAGAGTGGTAGTCGGTGCAGACAGGTTGAGTTTACCATGAAGTTCAGTGTGGGTGTTGGAGGTGTAAGTCGAGGTTTTTGAAGAAAAAATGTTCGCCCCGAGCCCAACTGGTCCAGTGTAAGAAGAATCCTTTTTCTTCGATGCTCAACAAGGTTTTTCGACGTCGTCGTCTCAAGTTGCCTCAGCCGCAAAATTTTGAAACCTTTGACTTTCTGTATACTCGAGTTCACATCGGAAGAGAAGTTTACCTGATCAGTTGCTAAGAAGTACTGGCCAAGAGCATAGCATGACTATGGAATGCCTAGTCTTTCGCATGAAGTTTCCAAATGTCCCTGAAGAGAATTTTATTAGCTTCTGATATTTTTGAATGCATTCTTGTTATGGTTTCTTTTTTCAGGTGATATGTGAGTCTGGCACAGGAAGTGGAAGTCTGAGTCATGCTATCGCTATGGCTGTCGCCCCTACTGGTCACTTGTACACCCACGACATTGAAGAAAGTCGCACGAGAAATGTGGAGCAAGAGTTTAGGGTATGATGTATTTTTTGGAGGGGTCCAAAACCCCACAAGACCTCTGATCATCTTTCACTGAACTGTCAGCCTACAATTAGGTTAGACGACTTGACTGAGCATTTTTACTCGGTAGAATTTTTGAGGTTTTCGTCATTTCCAAGGTTCATCTTTAGTCAAGACCAGGATGAATTCGTTTAGGAGCATGGACTGGCTGATGTCACAACTGCTGTCGTTTTGAATGTATGCACAGATGGCTTCTTTGTGACGAATGCATGCGATGGTGTTTTTCTTGACGTTCCAGCTCCATGGGAAGCGATTCCCCATGCCGCCGGCGCCATATCGCGCACTCGAGGAGGGCGCTTGGTGTCATTCAGTCCATGTATTGAGCAGGTACATGAACATACTAAACCATTGCTATCATCTCTCACAGTGAAATCATGAGCAAGTGGTTGGAACTAGTAACTGAAAATGTTCACTTGTTCAGATAGTCTTATCAAATACTCCTACATCCACTTCTTTGATATGTAAAGCTCAAGCAATTTTTTTTTTGTCAGGAACTGTTGCAATTTCGAGAGGGTCAGTTCATCCAAAGTAAAGCGTTGTTACCAGAAATGACTTTGACCAGTAGTAGGACCTGGTCTGATCGGATTCTTAGAATTGTCTGACTTCCGTCGAAGTCGATTAATTGGTAGCAGACCTATTTGGGAGGAAAAAGCCTCGACTTTCACTTTGCCCGAACACCGCAGCTCTTGTGTAGGCCACATTCACATTCAGAACATCACCACGAGTTCGAATGAAAGGCGCACCCAAAACAAGAATCATCAACAGCAAAAAAGAACTTCATCTTTCCAAGTCTCTCTGAATCTGTTGAGAATCTGAATGACCTCTAACTCAACCTACAATCTATCAAGTGCTGCCTTTTACTTCTATAATGCGTAACGTATGGCTGTCGAGTAAATGTGAACGCTGTAATTAAAAAGCAGAGTCTCGACTGCTCTTGTTGAAATGAGTTGTTGGTGCATGCTGTAGTGTTTCTAGTCCNTTATTAGTTCTATTCGACCCTGCGCGCTAATGAGAATACTTTTTGGTTCATTTTTCGAGTTTTTCGGTTCATTTTTCGAGTCGGAAGGTATTCTGGATTTCCCTTCTTTTAGAAAGATGGATCAAAATGAGTCCACCATTGGTTTCGGTCATATCTTTGTTCTCGTCTGCATCTGTCGCACACCGCTGAGGGGCAGTCTAGGGACGGCTGCGATAACAGGCCGCACAAGGGCTACAGATGGCTGCTGTCGGTAGAGCATCTCTTGCAATGAAACCGCTTGGACGTTGCGTCATCCATTTGAAGAACAGGCTGTGCTGACCACAGCCAAGTGTTCACCTGATCTCTGATAGCTACCATTTCCGACATGCGAACCTTTCACTTGAGCTCATAGTGAGATAATATGGAATAGCGCCAAGAGGCGTCACTACACAACCTCGGTGAAGGATCAACTTCCTGGTCGGTAGTCTTCCCGATCAACGGTGCCTTGTATCTCTTTGAGTCCTTCACGAAGTACCAGATTCTCCAACATTTTATAAGAGGTCTCGAAGGGATGATGAGCACACTGACTGGTGCACATATCAAATAAAACGCACTCTTCCTAACTTTTTTGTTTGAACTTTTTCCCGAAGTAGAGGTTAGCAACTTCAAATATGAGGCTAACATGCTGGTTATTATGGTGGTATTTCTTCTTTTATTGATTTCAGGTCCAACGTGCGTGCGATATAATGCGACAGGTGGGATTCGTGCAGGTGGAAACTGTTGAAATTGTTCATAGGACCTATAAAGTGAGTGGAGCTAATTTTCTGATGTTTCATATTCCTAAGCTTTTTGGTATAAGAATTGGTATTTTGGTATTTGTCCTATGTAAATCTTGCTAATGTGGCTAATTTAATATCAACATGGGCTTCCAAGGTGCGCTAGTTCTTTTGATGTCAAAGAAGCTGTACATATGATAATGGTGTTAAGGGACACCATGGAAATAGTGTCCTAAGATATGTACACAACGTTTTATATCTTACATTATTCAAAGTTTACCTTAAATTTCTCACTTCTTCACCATATTTGTTAGTATATTTTCTCAGGCACCGTGGTTATATCTAGTACCCATGACTAATCAGCTAGCCACCATTATACCTGGAATCCCATATTCGGCCTTTACGCTACAGCAAAATGACAATCAAATTTTCGTCGTCGAATTTGTAGCTTCTCTGTAGCTTTGGGGCGGCTATTTTTTTTACCGAATTCTCTTTGTTCATCTTGAATTGTGGTGGTCTTTATTTAGGTCATGCAACAGTCATGTTTTCTTTACACCTCGGAAAAATATCTACGTTAAACTTGCTGAGGATGGCTTTATTTTGAATGGACGTGTGGCACATGTGAGCTAGAGCTTGGTCGCTGATTTAGGACTTAGAATGCGTGACATTTAGAATCCTTGGCTAAATATTGTGCATTATATCGTGTATTCAATGAGAAACGTCTCGTGTAAGGAAGATGTAGAGGAACAAACTGGAGATTTATAAATTTCAGGTGGTGGAATTGGCTCGTCAATCATTGGCTGAGTTCGACGCATCTGGGGACTCAGCAGCCATTCAGGGCACACGTTCCGGTAATGATCGAGCAAGAAAGAGGAAACTGGAGGAAGAAGCAACAGAGTATGTATACAGTTTACAGAGTGTGCTTACATCCATTCTGTTGAAAAGTGCAGAATTCATTTTTCTTTGTTGATATTAATGATGTATCGTGTGGCAATTGTAGAGCATTCTTGAAGCTGTAAAAGGTTCCTTGATCCTTGAGGACTAGTTCCTAGCTACTATCTTCCTAATGCGGCCTCATGACATTGGAATCGCTGTAGCAGCTCTTAAATAAATTGCGCTTAGTAGTACTGCTACTATCAATGTTTTCCACCACTGATTCACGGGAGAGGGCAGTATGTTATAAGAAAAGCTGTTTTAGAGGGTTCACGCACATCCCATTTACAATTGCCTCTGAGGTTACCCCCCTCAGTTCCGCGGGAGCCAGACTTAGACGCAGTACTCCATCCCCGTAATGCCCTTAACAAACCTGGCTATCACTCTTTCTGCTCCTCGATCTTGAATAAACTGTAAGAGTAGTTGGAAGGTCACAGATCCATTGGTCTTCCAATCTGGGAGAATCACATCGAATGCTGATCGTTAGGTGGAACGCTATCTTTATAGCTAAGTAAATGTGGCAGAACAATGGTTTTGGTCGATACGAAACGCGACCTGAACATGCGAACGCTTTCCAGGGATTCGCCGGTGCCACAAACGCCAGGCCGTTCGACTGCGATTGTCTATCCGTTCAGCCAGCCAACACACACAGGCTACCTGACGCATGCAACCATGTTGCCGAGAGACTAGGGGAGTAAAAGTGACATTTGGTAAGTGACGAGCGCGTTCAAGCTGGTAGACTTGACACATTTGGTGTTGTTTATCGTCTTTATTGTTCGATTTGCTAGTGTTATTACAAAATGATGCCACCGTCAGCTTTTTATTAGACAGTGTATCTCACGTTTTGTTCTGGTTTTGTTCTACTCGTATGTGCCCGAATTGATAAGCTGCGTTGTTTTTTTGATTCTCTTTGTCGTAATGTTTAGCAGAAGAAAAATCCCAGCAGCAGCTGTGCAGCGCGTGGTTTGTGACGCGATTTAGATCAGGCAGTCAGAATATGTGACGTCGTTTAGACTTCGAGTTAGTTCTCGTATTACGGTATCTTTATGTTGCAGTTCACTTTTGTTGAGTTTCGTATAAAAATTTCTATGAGCGCGACTCGAAAAAAACTGTAACAGTGGCAAGGCTAATGGTGGACTGGGCAGCCAACAGTGCTCACCCGGCACCGACCATATGTTTTCGTTTGATCTTTTGTTTAAGGACTGCAATAAATTACCTTTTACAGTTCGACCAAAGAAGCGTGGATTAATCCTTATATGTGCTTTGTATTGTAAATAAGGCTTCATATTAGTTCATTATTTTCTGATTTGAGATTAACACTAACTTTAAGGCTAGGAATCTTTACAATGGTGATGATATTAGAGCTTGGCTGAGTTATAGGGAGGATACGGTGGCCTTCGCCTTTGTACGGGTGTCCAAAGTGAAGCAACATTCGCTTGAGCCAGTTCGAAACCCACTTTCGCATACATTAGGAAATGGGACCTCAAAAATTAATATCACACTATTGATTTATGTAGTTTATTGTAAGAGAGGCGGTGCACTGAGTGTAGGAAAACTTTGGATCTTACCTTAGATGGCCCTGATGTAGAAGACCAAATTTATGTAAACTAGCCAAGGGTTCATATCGGGTCGTTTCATGGGAAGGCGGTTCTCGTGATGTCACTAGTTTTTGGAAAAAGACTTTGTAAAATTGAATTTCAGGCTTTACATTTTTTATATGTAGCTTGGTTGTACACTTTCTCTTGCGATCACCTTCCCATCCAAGTCTACAACATGGAACGCATTTTCAATCACGAGAGTATTCGGCCACATTTTAGTTGGAGAGTCTCAAACTGAGTACCCTTTGTACACAGTGTGAAGAACCACATGAATAAGAAAGCAATGATTTTTGTGAAGGTGCCGGGAGAATAAAAACTGCTCTTTCTCTGATTTTCAAGTAATTTTCCTGTGGGGTTATGAAATTGATGGAAATGTGGCGTTCAGTCGTTTATGACGAAAGGGAACCCGTTCCATATTAATACTGACATTTAAACGAAATTCTCATGAAAATTTGATGAAATGACGCCAGGTATTATTTGTTGGGTAACCTATTGCACAGGAAGCAATAAGAAAGGGATACGAAATATTTGACAAGCTCCCATATTTTCCCATCAAATTTTGACATCTGCCGTAAGATTTCTGCTAATCCTGCTATAACTCTTCCAGAGGATACAGTATCAAAGTAATCCCACTTCAATAATAAACTTTTAGATCAACTGCAGACTAGATTCGTGTGTGTGGCGCAAACCAAGAGGACCATAGGGTACCTCTTGGCGTGCAAGATACTCAGTTATGCCATTTTTCGTGTCCATTATTATTCGATAGGTCCTTCGAGTTTGCGCCGCACGTCCGAAACTTATCGGTTTCCAAAGATTCCGTCATACTTCTCGGCTTTCAACACGAGCAGAGTGGAGCATAATGTAACCAGGCAAGGTTGTAACCAGCCAGCTTCATGTTGGGTTCATTCCTCTGGCTTATCACTGGGCGTTTGACATTCTCTCTAGACCTTCGAATTCATTTCACTTTTCAATAGAACGAGTGCATTTATCATCCTACAGCCCAATCGACTCGATTCGGGGTTAATGGAACCAGAATAAATCAATTGTACCGTTACGTTTTCAATCATTATGTTGCCAAGATGCACTACTTGAACATATTCCATCCATTTTGACTAAATTTCCTGAAGTTCGGGTGCTTTACTAATCAGTGCATCCATTGATTAGTAGAGTCCAAGTGAATTGGTCAGTGCTAAATGAACTTCCGTTTTGCGCCTCATTCCCGGCTCGATGCCCGCCCAGGCCAACCAAGCCTTCCACATTGTTACGAAGGTCTGTTGATTGATACCAGACAAGTCTACGAGGATGAGAGCACTGACTTTTACATAGGCTGGTTACCGCAAACCAATGTATAGACCACATCTGTATTCAAAACGCCATTACGATTACAAATGGAAGTCAAATGTGGAGGCGCATCCCAAAAACTTTATTTCAATGTCGAAGACTTCTCCTCATCCCATATGGACCTGTAGGCAGTAACGAGTTAGTTTCTTCACCAAAATATGAGGGATTGGATTTCTCTAGTCGGGAGGAAAAGGACGTTTGGCTATCACCATAGAAGTCCAATTCTGCGGAGCCACCGATCTACGAAAGTCTTCACCTATGCAACACAAGGCTTTTCTGAAATTCCCCCTGCTTACGACTTTTGAAATTTGTCTCATGTCGACAAGCTTCAGGCTAGTGATCGAATCTTAAATTGAAATAACCAAAGGGACCCAGCTAAGGACCTAGTCAGAACCCACTATGAGTGTAATGGAGCTGCATAAGGCTATGATAATATACTATGTCGAGTGAATCCCTGGAAATTCAGTCAAAATTCCAGTCCCTCTTCAATGACATTATGTCCACTCCGTTTTAACCCGCCCCTAGAGGGTATTCCAGTTGTGAGGGGAAGTTTTCGCCCGATGCTAGCCGATACAGATCATTAGTTGGAAGCTGATGTCACCGTTTTACGCTTCTCTTCTGATTCGGCCCACATTAATCAGCGTTGGGGTCGACATTGTGTTCAATTAATTACCGGAATGTTCATTTTAAAGTGGCGGTTGTAGCACACATTCGAGTGGAGCCAATGGGAATGGCTAGGTATGTTTTGGGATTTTCCTCAAATTTTCAGCGCCAAAATGATGAATATGGACTTCCCGAATAGTATGAATGCCATTGGCGGCCTAGTAGAGTTGAGCCAGAATACATTTTTTTCGGCAGCACACCTGATTTATTAGTCCCTTATCGAGATATTCGGAGGTCTGGCTCCAGTGTGGTGTAGGAAAGATTGTCAAGTACAACGGTTACACAGCGTCTGGGCGGCAAGTTACAGCACAGCGATGCTTTGGGTGGTGAAATGAATTCGTGCTAGGATTTTCGTCTTAATAAATTCAAGTTTCTGTCCGATGAATTTTACTTCTGTAAAAGCGCGAGTCACTGTTCAGGAAGTACAAAACACCTAAGGCACTTTCTGTGCAAGATATGCAGCTGGGAAACTCAAGTGACTGACTGGCATTGTCGATATTTCTAGAGCTCACAACTTCAACACGCTGAATCCCTGACATAACGGGTGGAATTCCTGCTAGCAAGCTAGCAAGATTCCATCGATCTGGTCCCATTCGGGCTGAACAACCTCCTCAAGGGAAGGGATTGATCAGCTGATATCATGCCCTCTATAATATCAAACACATTAACCTGAGAATTTTTTGAGGTCCGCAATTTCTCGCTTCTGACCTCACCATGAAAATACCAGGGGAATAGAGACGGTATCTGCAAAATCATCACGGAGACAGAAATATGGTCCCTTTGCTACGGTACAACCCTTCTAAAAACGCCCCCACGGTTGGCAGGTACCCACTTTATCAGCGACCCCTCGAACTAGAGCCATTGCCGACTGATATCTAGGGCCGCAATCGGAACAAATACTGGCTCCCTAGATTTCTTGCCATCAGACTTCCCTCCAGTTCCCATTGAAAAACAAAGGGATCTTTTTTCAACGCACGGCAACACCATGCGTGACACCAGCACATGGTAGAGCGGCGGCAGGAGGAAGGGATTTTCCGCATAAACACAATATGTAGTGGTGAAAATAGGGTTCAGTGTGATAGCGTCGCTTTAAAACAATAGCGCAGGATATCCTGATCTTGTCGGCGGTCGCCTCCCACGCCACAGCTCTCTTTTCACATCCACAAATTTGTGGGAAGCCAGTTCTATAATTTTGCAAATAGATGGACAAAAACGGGCGCGAAATTATGGTGACTCAATGGAATAATTGGATAAACCACTTACTCGGTCTGCTCAGTTGTCTGTTTGTCTGTTTGCTAGGCATTGGGACGAGCTCGTTCTGTGAAGTCGATCGCTACTATGACCGGGAGTCCGATATGGCGAACTCGTCCATGAGCTACTAATGCAAAGCAGTATTGTGGCCTAATAACACCCTGTTAACCCTAGTTATAAAAAGTCTTCTATAAAGCCTTGGGCACTAATCAATCCCATCAGAAGGATGCACCCGCGCATCCGACTTCAATTCAGAATCGTAGTGGCGTATTGAATGCGTATGTGGCCTATACTATAACTTGCGTTGGTCCAGGTGATGCTCAAATCAAGGCTTATATCCTCCCAGGCGAGTCTGGCACCAATTGACTGACCCCTGAAGGATAGGTTTGGTTGGCTTAGGCTGGTCTATGTCCAAGAAATCAGTTCAGCACGCAGCCACCACTTGCGTGGTCCCCTCCAACTTGTAGTAGGAGGCACATGAGTATGACTTCGTGGCGTAAAGCCCTTTCATCACAAATCCTATTCTAATTCGAGAAGGGTCTGTATTAGACATCGTTATTGGTGTTCTCAAGTAACATGTCCAAGAAAAACCAAGAATTCTGCTGGTAGTCCCTCTACGTTCTTTTATTGGACTGGAGCGCGTTTTCTAGTAATGAGAGGCGAAGTCCGTGACAAAAAATTCTATTTAAATGGCCTATTGCACAATGAACGAGGCTGAACGATTCTTCTGCTGCCTCTTCCATAAAGTTTTCTTCTCTTCCTATTCAGCCATCTACAGAGGTTACAAGTCCTGAGTGAAACCTTCCCATTAAATTGCCCCAGAACCGTGCCTCATCG